CTTACTGATCATTTCCATAGATACCCTTGGCACCAGCAGTAAGAAAATAAAAAGATGAGTTGTACCTGGAAAATCTGCTGTCTGGACCTCTCCGGAGTGTGAAAAAGCAGTAAAGTCAGTAAAAAGACTAAAGTGAACCAGATCCAAGCTATGGTCTCCTCAATTTCTTGCCATGCATCTGAGAGCTGTATATAGATGGAGGATGATAGAAGAATCATCGTTGTCTTTGAGTTGTGGTGCTGGAGAAGAATATTAAATATACCAGGGACTGTCAAGGGAACAAACAGGTCTGTCCTGGGGAAGGCGAAATCAAGTTGCTCCTTAGAGGCAAGGATTTTGAGTTCTGTCTCACATACTTTGGGCATGTTTTCAGGAGAGGCCAGTCCTTGGGTAAGGACATCAGGTTTTGAAGGGTGGAGGGTCAGCGCAAAATAGGAAGACCTTGAAGGAGATGGATTGACACAATAACTACGGTAATGGGGACAAGTGTGTCAGGGAGAGTGAGACTGGTTCAGGATAGGGCAGGGCTCAGAGCCATAGTTCATAGGGTCACTCTGAGATGAGGTCAACTCAATAGCACATTACCACAACAAAGAAAAGAAACTTTCCCCCTTCTTCTCTCCCTTCCTTCTTCCCCTCTTTTCCTCATAGTGAAGCACATAAGCATTTGTATCGTTCAGTTCCTGGCTCGATACTATAGAAATAAAATTTCTCTCTTTTTTATTGGTGTTAAATCACAACCAAATCATAATTGACCCTCCATTGGTTTTCTGAGGCTGTAAATCATGCTCATCCTTCTGCAGAACTACTGGTGGATTCCAGCTGCCAGGGGTACAGCCTTTGGATTAACAATGCAACTCCCTACACATTAATTTACCAGAGTTCCTTAACTGCAATGCATGTGTAAACAATTAGTCTCATTATGTGAAATTTCTGTCTGCCATAAGTCTTTGAAAAGATGGAGAAATGAAGACATATTGCTCTTCTCTCATACATGTTACATGACATGTACAAGGACCTGGAGTCAGAAAATCAAAAGGGGCAAATTTGCTCAGCATTTGTTAAGCTCAAGGAACTTAAGAACAAATTCAAACCTCGAGTTGCTATAATCAAGGATGCTTTAGGCAGAATATTAAATGAAGTATTAAAAGAAGATGGAAAGAATATACTGAGTCACTGTATCAAAACGAATTGGCAGACACAGAAGAATTTAATGAAACAACATATGAACAAGAGCCTATGGTGATGAAGGAAGAATTTCAAGCTGCTTTGAAGGAAATAGCAAAAAATAAGCCCCCAGGAATAGATGGTATACCAATTGATGTATTTCAACTAACACATGCTGCCTTGGACGTGCTCACCATGTTGGGCCAAGAAATCTGGAGAACAACCATTTGGCCAACTGACTGGAAGAGATCTCTATTTGTTCCCATTCCAAAGAAGGGTGACCCAACAGAGTGTGGAAACTACAGAACAATATCATTGATTTCATAGGCAAGCAAGATTCTGCTGAAGATTATCCAAAAATGACTGGAACGGCACATCAACAGAGAACTACCAGAAGGGCATGCTGGGTTTAGATGGGGTTGTGGTACTAGAGAGATTTTAGTTAATGTTAGACGGATCTTAGCTGAAAGCATGGAATACCAGAAGAATGTCTATATATGTTTCATTGATTATGCAAAGACGTTTGACTTTGTGGATCATAACAAACTGTGGCTGACTCTGAGAAGAATGGGAATCCCAGAACACTTGATAGTGCTAATGCAAAACCTATACTTGGACCAAGAGGCAGTCGTCAGAACAGAGCAGGGTAACACTGCGTGGTTCAAAATTCGGAAGGGTGTATGCCAGGGATGTGTCCTATCTCCATACCTTTTCAACCTGTATGCAGAGCAGATTATTCGGGAGGCTGGGCTCTGTGAGAAGTGTGGCATTAGGAATGGTGGAAGATCTATTAACAATCTGTGTTATGCAGATGACACAACCCTGCTTGATGAAACTGAGGAGGACCTCATGCACTTACTGCAGAGGGTCAAGGACTACAGCCTACAGTGTGGACTGAGGCTCAATGTTAAGAAGAAAAAGATTCTCACCACTGGACCAATTGGCAGCATCAGGATGGATGGTGAAGAGATTGAGATTGTTCAAAGCTTTAGTTTGCTTGGTTCCACAGTCAACACTCTCGGCACCAGTAGCCAGGAAATGAAAAGGTGAATTGCGATGGGAAAGTCTGCTGGTGGAGATCTCTCTGAAGAACGGAAAAGCAATGGTGTCACTCTGGAGACTAAGGTGTGTCTAATACAGGCCATGGTCTTTGCAATCACTTGTTATGCATCAGAGAGTTGGACAATGACTATGGATGATAGAAGGATAATTGATGCCTTTGAGCTCTGGTGCTGGAGAAGAGTATTGAATATACCATGGACTGCTAAGAAAACAAATAAGTTCGTCCTGAAGAGGGTTAAATCAGGCTGTTCCTTGGAGACAAGGATTCTGAAGCTTCGTCTGACATACTTTGGACATGTTGCAAGGAGGGGCCAGTCCCTGGAGAAGGACATCATGCTTGGGAGGGTAGAGGGATAGCGCAGGAGAGGAAGACCCTCTATGAGGTGGATTGATTCAGTGACTAGGGTAATCAGGGTGGATGTGTCAGAGGCGGTGAGATTGGCACAGGAGAGATCAGGGTTTAGGGATGTTGTACATAGGGTTGCTATGAGTCGCAAGCGACTCGATGACACATAAGAACAACAACATCCAAAAAATAGAGCCAGCAGCATGGAGTGGGTATGACTTTGAAGTCACAGAGGACCCTGACTTGGAAGAGCCAAAAGTTTGCTTTAATGCTCTACTGTCTTGAAATGGTAAATGATTTTTGAACAAAAGACTCCACATTATCATTTAGCACTGTGTATCATAGAGTCTGAACTGACTCATAGCTGATACTCTGGTAGGTTTTCAGAGGCAGTTAATCACACCCTCCCTTCCTCAGCCACCTCTTTCTTTATGATTGTTTATTTACAAAATTTTAATATATTGTTTTTCACAGATTCTTCCAATTTCCCTCATCCACCCACTTATCAGATTGTAAAATCCCATGATTAATCCTCAACAACCCTCCTCAGCCACCTCTTGATATGACAGCTGCCCCTCCTTTTCCCGTGGAGCAACTGGTAGACTTAAACTGTGTGCCTTTGGGATTGCAACACAGCTTCTCACCACTAGGCCATCAGAGATCCCTCATATAGCACCAGGCCCCACAAATTATCTAGCTACGTCTTACTAAAAGGAATCTTGAAGTCTTAATGGTGGACAAATGTGACGCAAGCTCAGAATGTTTACACTCTGATTAGTTAGATGGCAGGATTTCTCCAAGGGCCACATGCATCAGAATTGTCAGTCAATGCACACTGTAGCAAATCAGAGGAGGTTTCAGGTCAATTAATCATAAACTTCTACTCAATAAATGAGATTTCCAAATGAAATTTGCATAACAACTGTGATTTGTGAAGCTGAGGCAATGCCAACAGATGGTTAATGTGAAACAGGTGCATTCAGCTCTTATTTAAGACAAGTTCTGGCCTTTACTATAACACCCGAGGACTGCTGGGCAAAGACAAGTGCAAGGGACTGGTGATAACCTCTTTGAAATATTTTTATGATTTGTAAAACCTCTTTTAATACTTTTCTACGAAGCAAAATTAAGTCTTGAACTCTGTGGAAAACTGTCTATATGTGAAAATGTTTCCCCATCTGGTGTTTCCCAACATTGCATTGGACTTCAAGCATGCAGTTTGATGGCGGGTGAAATGCTATTATGTTTTAGTTAAAAAGATGTTCAGTTTTAAAGCACATCATGCATGAACTTTCTCTTGTTTAAGTTGTAGGGCACTTATAAGCTATTATTTAAAAGATTATCAGCATTATTTTTATTTCATATAAAAAATAAAGGATTTTTGTCTGCCTCAAGCTTCCTGCTCTTTTAAGAACTCTAAATATGGGATTAAATTGACAATCCTATCTTAAAAGATTAGACAGGAAATTTAGAGGACAGTAAGTTTATCTTGTTAATGGGAGAGGAACACCTCATAAAAGGAGCGTAAGAATGGTTGCACAACTCAGAGAAGATTAATATCATTAACTTTTTCATGTAGTAGCTGCTGAATGGTTTCTGTTTTGCTATGTATTATTTCAATAACAATAACAAGAAAAATGCCCAGAAAACTCCAATGACCAATAATTTCTTCTTCCTCAGGCTGGAAGATAATAGAAAGATATTTGGTAATATTATGCTTACAGTATTGTAAGGAAATAAGCATGCTTTTTTTTTCCTTTTTTTTGGTAATAAGCATGCTCTTAAAAAAATGAATTATCCTAAAATCTTTTGGGTGTTTTTTTTTTTACTGTTGTTGTTGTTGATTGCCTGAGAGTCGACCACAACTCATAGTGACCCTATGAACAAAAGGCCTGAAGCCCCTCTATAACTATCGACATTTATCCAAGTTCATAGTTTCTGGAGGCATGTTATCTAGGAAGTGAATGCCACTCCTACTACCCTAATTAACTTGGGTAACTTTAAAAATTAACATCCATGTACCATTTAAATCTGAAAGTGTTATTTCATCTGCCTGTGAGCTAAAGTTTGATTTTGGATATTAAATTTTTAAATTTCATAAGAAAGTTATACTTATCAGATAAAAAGCACTTGGATCTAATGGCAGGCACATTCTTTATGAGGCTATACATTTTGGCATCAGACTTAGCTTCAGATCTCTGCTTTGCTCTTTGCTATATGACCTTGGGCAATTTGCCTGATCTTTCCAAGCTTCAGTTTCCAGATTCAAAATAGGGATAACAACATTCAATATATAAGAAGGATATGCAGATCAAATTAGATAATATGTAATTAGATCAAGTTCAACAATGACTTGACATCCATAGTTATTATCATTGATAGGATTTTTTTTTAAATCAAGGATTTGAACTTATTAAATAGTTACCTGATTGACTGGAACAATGTTTTTGACATTGTAGTAGAAGCCAAAATAAACCATGTTGAAAATCCCATGGCGTCCCAAAGTTGCTGTAAATCCTTTGTTGAGGCCCTGGAATCCCAAGCCTTCATTTTTAATGATGTGTCTTGCATAACTCATTGTGGAAGGTTGCTGCATAAGAGACAAGTAAAGCCAGAAACATCATTTTAGGGACTGTGAGGTAAATTACTGTCTTAGCTTTCCTTCCAGTTAGAATTACTAAGGACTTTTTTTTCTAAACATGAATAATCATGCCTACATCTATACTTTTAAAATTAGAAAATGCAAAAAGTAAATGAAATGACATACAGAAAAACAGACTTAGCAGTGGCTATAGTTGGGGGTGAGGGGAAGGAACCAACAAAATCCCCTCTAAAAACCCCAAAATAAACAAACAAACCAAAAACCTTTGGTGGAATTACTGAAACCAATTTAATGAAATAACTATCACCACCTTCATCATATAAATGACTGCATCTAACCCTGTGTTATCCACATTAATGGCAGGAGTGGCCAAGTGGAGAGGAGAAATAAATAATCCATAACTGGGCATAATACAAAAGGATTATGTGGCTCTGGAATTGTTATGTGATTTTTCTAGTGCATCATATTTATCTTTCTAATTGTGCCAAGAAATTTGAAGGACTACCATCTGGCCAACTTACTGAGAGAGATCTGTATTTGTTCCCATTCCAATGAAAGGTGATCCGACTGAGTGTGGGAATTATAGAACAGTATCATTCATGTCACATGCAAGCAAGACTCTGCTGAAGATTATCCAAAAACGACTGGAACAGCACACCAACAGAGAACTGCCAGAAGTGCAGACTGGGTTTAGAAGGGGTTGTGTTGAGGGAGCTCTAGTAGCCTAGTGGCAAAAAAATTGCACTGTAATCCCAGAGGTATATGGTTAGAATCCACCAGAAGCTCTGTTGGAGAAGGAGGAGCAACCTCCTCCTGTACCAGTCAGATCCGATTTAATGTTACACACATAAAAAAAAAAAATTATAAGATAAAAATTTTTTTATCAAAAAAGAAGGGGTTGTGTAGCTAATGTTAAATGGATTTTGTTTGAAAGCAGGAAGTACCAGAGGAATGTCTATCTTTGTTTTATTGACTATGCAAAGGTGTTTAACTGTGTGGACCACAAGAAACTGTGGCTGACTCTGAGAAGAATGGGAATTCCAGAACACTAGATTGTGCTTATGCAAAACCTATACTTGGACCAGGAGTAAGTCATCAGAACAGTGCAAGGAAACACTGCATGGTTCAAAATTGGAAAAAGTGTATGCCAGGGACATGACTTATCTCCATATCTTTTCAATCTATATGCAGAATAAATCATCTGGGAGGCTGGGCTCAATGAGGAAGAATGTGCTATCAGAATTGGGGGAAAACTCATCAACAATCTGTGTTATACAGATGACACAACCCTGCTTGCTGAAACAGAACAGGGCTTGAAGTGCTTGCTGCAGAAGGTTAAGGACTGCAGCCTTGAATATGGATTGAAGCTCAATTTCAAGAAAACAAACATTCTCACCACTGGGCTGATTGGCCGCATC